ATTACAAGTAGAATGGGTTTTAAATTTCCATTTTCATAAATCAAAAATCAAGTTTAATAATACAGAAATCAGATTTTAATTAATAATTAATAATACATATTTAAATATTATAAATTAAACCCTAATTCATTTCTATTACCTTTCTCTCTCTATCTTCTCACTGTTCATCTTTCTTCCCTACCCACCGGTCGAACATGCCCCCATGCTAGCGACGCCCCTGGAAGAAACTCTCCGACGAAGTGGCGTCACAAAATCGCGATGCTGTCTGTGGCGATGGCGCGGCGCGGCCTGCAAGAAACTCCTATCTGGATCTGTACACATCGCAAATCGCCGATATGTAGATGCTACAACTTCGGTCGCAGTCGATCCAGATCTACGTGTATAGAGAGATGTGACGTGGTGGTGGAGGCGCCGCGTTGGTGTTGATGGTGGTGGCTCAGCGCAGAGGTAGCTACGGGATTTGTGTTTATTTTATGGTAATGTGTGGTTAAGTTAATGGCGAATGACAGTGGTGTTGCGTGGTGATGGTGGTGACATTTACAGATCGGTGGTGTTGCAGGCAATGGAGCAGGGGGTGATGGTGTGGTGTATTGGTGGCGGTAGTGGTTGTTGTAGTGGATTGGGGTTAGGGTGGGGTGCGACGGAAGCAATGGTTGTGGCAGCTATGGTGGTGGTCGAGCGAGCCTGTAGCCACCTCTTCTGGACCTCCGGTGGTGGAAGGCGACGGTCCTGCTAAATATTTTGGGATTGTGAGACGCGGATCGGTGGCGACCCACCTTACGACCACCACAACCGCAGTCCTAACAAAACCTAGCACTTCCACAAAGACCCTTCCTTCGCCGCCAACACCTCTCTTCTCCCTCAAATCGTCGGACCACCACGACGATGTCGAGTTGCAACAATACAAATCTGTGTTTTTTTTTTTTGAGTGGTGACAACCACGACGCGGCTACAGCGATCTAGATCTGTGGTGGGCTGTGTTGCAGTGGAGTGTGGTTGCGGTGTGACGGTTGATAGTTGAGTGGTGCAGTATAGTTTGTGTGGTGATGCTGTGGTAATGAGGTCGTTTTTTAGTGGTGGTGGTGGTGGTGGTGTTGGTGAGGTCATTTTCTGGTAGTAATGGTGAGGTTATTTTCATTGGGTGGTGGTGGTGGTTTCTGTGGTGTTGATGTTGGCGATGGTGGTGGTGTTGGCGGCGGAGATGACAATGGTGTTGTGTTGGCGGTGGTCACAAATGATTTGTTGA